AAGAATGAAGAAAACCAAAGATTCATGGAAACAATTAGTCCTAGCGGCTGGTACACCACGCGATTCTCAGCCTATACAACTATGAGACCAGAAGAGCTAGATGGTGCCCAGTTACCACTGTCAACCACAGAGGGGGATCTATGTAGGAGATCCTGGATAGAGAGAGAGAACAATGTGGAACAAACCTCAAAATCAATTGGGGGGGGGAAGGGGGGTGGAGACCAGGTTTGCTGGTCTGATAGAGCCTGGTGGAACTACTGAGACTATGGCCCCTAGCTGCCCTTCAGCTAGAGTCTCGAATTGAACCCATACCTGTGGCTTCCAGCCAAACAAAAGACAGGCATATGAGTTGAACATTTACTCTCCTTGGAGAGAACAATCATGGGAGAAAGGAGGGCTGTTTATGTATAGGGACACAGCTCAGGGGGCAGGAGTGCATGGAGAGATGGACACAGGGAAGAAGTATCTATTGGAAGGAAGTGGGAGGGGAGCTGTTGTACTGGGGTAAATTGTAGTCAATGTCATGACACAAAGTGTATGTGAACTGCTGTTTGGAAAGTGAATATGCTCTGTAAATTTTCACCCAAATCACAATTGAAAAAAAAAGAATCCCCCGCTCTAAATGGGGAATCTAATCTATTTCTCCCCCAACACACGCTGTCTAGATATGGATGAACCTAGCCAAAACTGGCTCTCACAAGGATTTCCAGTCTACATTCGTGTCAACTGGGTGGTCCAAAATGGGAAGGCCCTGCTACTGTGCATCTTTCTATCCATTCTGGGTTTGGGCTGGGCTAAGTAAGAGTGATATGCAGACAAGAGGGTGAGGTACTGAGGACAAGGTTTAGAATATGGCAACTATACAATGACTGTTCTACTGACTCATTCATTCCTGCATACACACATGGGACATAGGTAACTAAAGAAATCAAAGCAAAATCCTATAATAATTTGTTATCTGATACCATATTTCTCTCCAGTTTCTGGCCCATTTCTATGACATTCCTTATAGAACAATACTGAGTCTTTTCCCTCACCTACCATATTTTTTTGTAAAAATGTTGAATTTTTATTTTTATCAAATGAATATATGTACATAGTTTAAAAGGTTAAATACTTCTACAAGGCTTGTTTTGAAAATAGCCATCCTCAACTTTCAGTGCACCCATAACTCCAGAAGAAACCACATCGAATTCTTTGAGCTGATTCTCTTAATTTAATATTATTTCTATGCCTGTAAATAACATACAGCTTCATTCTTTGTTTTTCAGTTTTATGTGTTATCTATAACGGATTGTCTTTCCTTCACACACACCCATCTTCCCAATATAGTTATGTTATGCTTTTGGTTAGCTCAGTGTTCAGTGTTTACTGTTGTTTTGTGCTAATGAGTTGATTCCAACTCACAGCAACCCTACAGGACAGTGTAGAACTTCCCCATAAGGTTTTCAAGGCTGTAATCGTGTGTGTGTGTGTGTGTGTGTGTGTGTGTGTGGTGATTTGGGTGAAAATCGAGTCCTCTACCAATTTCATCTTTCTAAAAATACATCTCACAGCCTTTAGTTCTGTCACATATGGACTGGCTGCCTATCACCTAGGACAGGTTGACACCTTGGATCACCTTCACCCCATCCAGGCCATCCTTTGTCTCTCTCTTGTGATGGCTCCTTGGATCCCCTGTTCTCTGAATCCCATATGTTCCCCTTTTTTAAAAATTTTCTCCATCATATTTGGTTCCCATTTCCTCCAGTAACATCCTGAGGAAGGGAACATGGAAAGTAAAATGTTAAAATTCTAACCATCTGAAAATGTCTCTAGGCTACCCTTAGCACTTATTTAATTTGTATGGTGAGCAAATAATCCAAGAGGCTGGAAAATATGAAGAACAGGCAACAGGATTGGAAGAAGACTCATTAGCAACACGCAATATGCAGATGACACAACATTGCTTCCTGAAAATGAAGATGACTAGAAACACTGATGAAAATCAAAGACTACAGTCTTCAGTATGGATTACACCTCAACATAAAGAAAACAAAAATCTTCACAACTGGATCAATAAGGATTAACACAATAAACAGAGGAAAGATAAAACAAGGCTTTTATTTTTTTTGGATCCACAATCAACACCCATGGAACAGCAGTCCAGGAAATCAGATGTCGTATTGTACTGGGCAAAGCTGTTGCAAAAGACCTCTTTGGTGTTAAGGAGTAAAGATATCTCTTTCGAGACTAAGGTGCTCCAAACCCTAGTCATGGTATATTCAATAGCCTCATATATGTGAAAGCTGGACAATGAATAAGGCAGACCAAAGAAGAGCTGATGCCTTTGAATTGTGATGTTGGCAAAGAACACTAAAGATACCATAGACTGCCACAAGAACAAACAAGTGATGAAGTGGGAAGTATACATGAAGCATTCCTCCTACATTCCGAAGCATAATGTTTGTCTCAAGGAAAATACTTTTTATGTAATACCATTTTTACTTGAAAGAAGGAATGACAGAAATTATCTTGGATGTTTGGCACTTTTCAAAAATGAACAACTAGTGAGCCTCAAGGAAACCAACTGACAATATTGTTGCCAGTGATTAAATGGAACCTCTCAAGGGATCAGAATATTGGAAATCTTGTTTCCATCACAAGTTTGACACCTTTCCAAAATATACAAATTTTTGTGCTGGAATCAATGGAAATACTGACAAATGTGACTTTTTGGTATTCTGTATTGAAATGTGTCAACACTGAAAGATCTGTATACTCAGTGAACTAATGCATCACTGGAAAAATAACTCACACATTAGTACAAGATTCATTCAATGTGCAAGATGGACCTATAGGTTTTAATGAACAGAATTTGAAATATTCAATAATAGGGTTTCTGATTGCAACTAACCTTTAGGAAACTACCACTTCTGTAGCTTTAGTGAAATATCAAAGCACCAAAGATGAACATTCACAATTACTTGGAAAGGCTATTCAAAATACTCTTCCCTTTTCCAACTTCATGTTTATGTGATGCTGGGGGTGGGGGTATATACTTCAACAAAATAAGTAACAGATTGAATGTAGAAGCAGATACAAACATCCAGATAAAACACACATTAAGAAAGAGATGTGCAAAAATGTCAAATGATCCACTCTTCTTACATTGTTTTATTTTGGAAAATATTTATTTTTCATGAAAATGTATTCTCTCTATTAATGTTGAATAGGCTATTAATATTATTTTAAATTAACTTTAAATTTTTGTTTCAATTTCGCATATAACAAAATCTTTTGGTTCCATATTAATCTGTAAGTTGCTGTTGTTGTTATGTGCTATCGAGTCAGCCCCAACTCATAGTGACCCCTCCTTGGGTTGCCGAGGCAGTATCACTGTGGAAGTAGATTGCCCCATCTTCATTCCGAGGAGTGGTGGGTTTGAACCGCCAGCCTTCTGGTTAGCAGTCAAGTGCCTTAGGCACTACGCTACCAGAGCTCCATAATCTGTAAGAGTGAATAGAAACTCTAAGGAGCGCTGGTGGCACTATGGTACCCTTGGCTGCTAACCCAAAAGTTGATGGTTGGAACCCATCAGCTACTCTGCAGAAGGAAAAACCTGTTGATCTTGCCCTTTAAAGGAAACCCTGTGGGACAGTTTTGTCATCTAGGGCTCCTATAAATCCACTGTAGGGCACAAACCAGCAAGGTAGAGATTCTGAAACTAACAAAGACTTTGGACTTAAGCAGGCCCTTGCCCAGGACTCAAGGAGACAGTGTAGCAAGGGGTCAGGGCAAAGTCCAAGTACTCCAGCTTGGCTCTCATGCACCAGTGGCACTGTCATTAGTGGGGAGATTGTTGTTAGGTGCCATCGAGTTGGTCCTGACCTATAGAGACCCTCTGTACACCACACTGCCTGGTCTTGCACCATCCTCACAGTCATTGCCGTGTTTGAGCCCACTGCTGCAGCCACTATGTCAATCCATCCCATTTGCGGTCTTCCTCTTTTTCACTGATCCTCTACTTTACTTTACCAAGCATAATGTCCTTGTCCAGGCACTGGTCCCTTCTGATAACACATCCAAAAAGCACATGAGACAAAGTCTCACCATCCTCACTTCTAAGGAGCATTCTGGCTGTACTTTTTCCAGGGCAGATTTTGTTCATTCTCTGGTAATCCATGGTCTGTCTATTCAATGTTGTTTGCTAACACCCTAATTCAAAGGCATCGATTCTTCTTCAGTCTTCCTTATTCATTATAGTTTTGCATGCATATGAGGTAATTGAAAATACCATGGATTGGGTTAGACTTACCTTAGTCTTCAAAGTGACATCTTTGCTCTTTAACACTTTAAGGAGGTCTTTTATAGCAGCTTTGCCCAGTGCAATACATCTGATTTCTTGACTATTGCTTCCATGGGTGTTGAAATCCTTGACAACATCGATCTTTTCTCCATTTATCATGATGTTGCTTATTGGTCCAGTTGTGAGGATTTTTGTTTTCTTTATGTTAACGTGTAATCCATACTGATCTTCATCAGTAAGTGCTTCAAGTCCTCTTCGCACTCAGTAAGCGAAGTTATGTCATCTGCATATTGCAGGTCGTTAACGACTCTCCCTCCAATCCTGAAGCCGTGTTGGAGAGTCCCCGTCTCCTTGGAATTTCACTTCCTCTCACAACCTGTGCCAGGTCTTTCCACCAGGATACACATAATGCGACTCCATTTCTCACTCCTACTGGGTCTCACATTTTCTGGAACAGCCAATCGCCGTGGCCGTGGTTTCTGGTTTCAAGGTGCGCTTGGACTAGCCGGGAGGCAGATTGTCTCCCCTCAGAACCACAGTACCCGGGTCATGACATCCTGGACGATCCTCCTGCTACTCCCAGGAGCCCTGGCCCTGACCCAGATCCAGCCAGGTGAGTGCGCGGTCGGGAAGGAAACAGCCTCCACGGAAGGAGGAGCAGGGGACACCCCCCCCCAGCGGGGACGCTGGACCCTCGGCGGAAAAGCGCCCCGCCACCCCAGCCCCAGACCTCGCACGGCCTGGTGCTGACCCTCCGCGTCTCGCGCTCTCTCCTCTCCTCACCCCGCCGCCCCGTCTCCCCTCCCCAGCCCCATCCACTCGAGCCCAGGAGTCGCGCGGGGCGGGGTGGGTGGTCTCAGCCCCTTTCTGCCCCCAGGCTCCCACTCCCTGAGATATTTCCACACATCTGTGTCCCCGCCCGGCCGCGGGGAGCCCCGCTTCATCGCCGTCGGCTACGTGGACGACACGCAGATCGTGCGGTTCGACAGCGACGCCGCGAATCCGAGGATGGAGCCGCGGGCGCCGTGGATGGAGCAGGAGGGGCCGGAGTACTGGGACGAGCAGAGCAGGATCGCCAAGGAGAACGCACAGACTTTCCGGCAGAGCCTGCGGAACCTGCGCGGCTACTACAACCAGAGCGAGGCTGGTGAGTGGCAGCGGGCCCAGGTCGCAGGTTTCGTGTTCCCTGGTCCCCAGAGACTGGTGCCCCGAGTCTTCGGGCCCAAAGTTCACCCCAAGGCGGAGGGACCCGCCCGGCCCTTAGAGTCCAAACCGGAGGATTTCCTCTGGTTTCGTTTTCAGTTTAGAACCGAAAGACTAGTCGCCACTAGACCTGACCGCGGGGGCGGGGCTGACCGCGGGGGCGGGGCTGACCGCGGGGGCGGGGCTGACCGCGGGGGCGGGGCCAGAGTCTCACACACACCAGAGGATGCACGGCTGTGACGTTGAGTCCGACGGGCGACTGCTCCGCGGTTACAATCAGTATGCCTATGATGGTGCGGATTACCTTGCCCTGAATGAGGATCTGCGCTCTTGGACCGCGGCGCCGGCCGTGGCGGCCCAGCTCACCCAGCACAAGTGGGAGGAGGCTGGGGAGGCGGAGCGCTACAAGGCTTACGTGGAAGGCAGGTGTGTGGAGTCGCTCTGCAGATACCTGGAGAACGGGAAAGAGACGCTGCAGCGTGCAGGTACGAAGGCTTGCGGTGTGCCTCCCCGAACTTCCTTTGACCAGAGACTGGGCTGATCTCTCAAAAGGAGAGGGGGATAATGGGATAGACGCTAAACTATCCCCTCCCATGGGTGTGAAGAGTGAGGAGTTAGCCCAGATGACTTCCAGACTGTGGTGTTACTAGGGTTGGTGTTACCCAGTGTAGTTACTCACGGTGTCACCCCCCCATGGTCCTCCTCCCCTACTAGACTGTGTAAAATCCTTGATAATATTTATTAATTGTAATCATAGAATAATATGTGATAAATATAGTTGTAAGTTGCTTAAGTGTAGTATTTCTTACATTATGAATACTAACCACGAAATTGTTTTGTAAAATATTTTTACGCCGAATCACATCATTAGTAACAGCAGAAGCCTTTTTTTTTTCCCTTTAATTACTACTTCATTTCCAAATATATAGATATAGGTTAAAAAATGCTAATTACCACGATATTGTAGCTAAAACAGCAGAAAAATTGGCAAAATCAGTGACTATAAAGTATTTACAAAAAAGGAAAGCAATAGCTTGCGCTGAGTGCAGAGAAAACCAGGTAATTCAGAGATCATTGTATTTGGGTAATAATGACAGCTCTGACAGGAGCATATTAGAAAGTTCAAAAAGTAAATTAGCATAGAAGTTCAGTCTTGTGGGTATATTGATACATGTAAGTTGAGCTTATGAAAAATGTTCTTACAACTAACTACAGGGACATTTTTATAAAAACAATGATACATTTCTACTGAAACACTGCACAAAATTTTTAGACAATCATTTTGGTGTCACCCCCGCCACCGACAGTGTCACCCGGTGTTCTGGTTACCTAGTGCCATCCTGACAGGAATATACCACAAATGGGATGGCCTGAACAAACAGGAATTTATTCTCTTATAGTTCACTAGGCTTAGAAGTCCCTGTTCAAAGTGCCAGGTTCTAGGGGCACCTCAACCTTGAGCTTCAGCTCTGCCTCCTGCTCCCGGCCCACTAAAGCTAGAGGCAGCTCTTAGACAGCTGCTGGCTGCTAAGGCTGACAAGCTCAAGGTTGACAAGTAAAATGGCATAGTCCCGATGTTACCAAATCACACAGCAGGCCATTAATTCAAGTCCATTGTACGTCCCAAGGTCGGCAGAGCATGGCAGGCTGCTGAACAACAACTACTACTTGCAGGGTCCAAGCACGCCATAAGCTAGAGACCATTCCCAAAGCTGTTTCTTATATATGGGAAGCAAACCACATACCCAAAGCAGCTACTCAGCTGCGCCAATAGATTCTACCATGAAGTTAATTACCAATCTCACCATGGGGAATAACTTTATTCAGCTACCCAGCCACTCAACCAGGCGCAGCCAAGTTGACACATGAACATAACCACCACACCTGGTGTGCTCTGCACCCCTCTCTGCACCCCCCTGGTGACACAACTGTTCCCAGATCCTGGACCAGAGAGTGACTTTCTCTCAGATAGTTAAGGAATCCACTCTCTCTGAGGATAGTAAGAGAGATGATTCCTGACTGATCAACAGTTCCCTTTGATCCTAGAATCAACCTTGGGAACTACCAGAGACTTTCTCTCTCAAACTTTGTTCTCTGCCCCACATCAATGTGTTTGAATGTCTGATTCTACCCAAGTCAGAACTAGAAATCCCTGTTCTCCCCTTCAGACACCTGGAGCCTCCTATTCTAAGCCGCCTCACCCTGATTCTAGAACTTTCCAAGGAATAGGAGATTATCCCAGGTCCCTGGGCCAGGCTGATGTCTCGGTTTTGCACACCCTCCTCCACCCTAATTGCTCGGTCCATTCTCAGGATCATCATATGAGCACTGCTCAAGTAGTGCATGGGAGATAATGCAGAGTTCCTGAATTGTCTAATCCTTCCCCTTAGTGCCTCCAAAGACGCACGTGACTCACCATCCCATTTCTGAACAAGAGGTCACACTGAGGTGCTGGGCCCTGGGCTTCTATCCGGCAGAGATCACCCTGACCTGGCAGCGGGACGGGGAGGAGCTGACCCAGGACACAGAGCTTGTGGAGACCAGACCTGCGGGGGATGGGAACTTCCAGAAGTGGGCAGCTGTGGTGGTACCCTCTGGAGGGGAGCAGAAATACACATGCCATGTGCAGCATGAGGGACTGACCAAGCCCCTCACCCTGAGATGGGGTAAGGAGGCAGATGAGGGTGGAGTTTCCTCTCAGGGATAGCAAGAGGCCTTCTGGCCAATTGCAACAATGTCAGGCCCTCTCGCCTCTCCTCCCTGTCCTAGAGCCCCATTCTCAGTCTGACATCCCCATCGTGGCAATCATTGTTGGCCTGGTTCTCCTTGTGGCCATTGGAGCTGTGGTGGCTGGAGTTTTTTTCTGGTGGAAGAAGAGCTCAGGTATAGAAGGGGGTGGGGTCTGAGTTTTCTTCTCCCAGTGGGTGGTTTCAAGTCCCAGGCAGGTGATTTGCCTTGCAGTCTCCACCTCATTATGCAAGGCACCATCCACACTTTTGCTGACCCAGTCTGGAGCCTTGTGTACTAACAATTACCCTTTTGTAAAGCACGAATGAAAATGAAGGGTAAATCTTCACCTTAATCGTTCTGGTGATGGAGCCCTGATTCCCAACAGTCTCAGGTTACATGGGAAGGTTCCCACTGAGGACAAACTTCCAGAAGTGTAGTTGTTCCAATCCCTGCACATATTTCCTTGTGTTTCCTTATCCTGTCCTGTGTCTGTAGTCATAGTTCTGGGACCTTCCCTGGGGTCCAGGACTACCTGGCTCTTCTAGAACCTCATGGTCCTTCCTCCTCCCATTGTCTCACAGAATACTTTCTTTCCATAAGAAAAAGGAGGTACACTCAAGCAGAAAGTAAGTATGGAGGGAGAGAGGCTGATCCTGAGACCTTTGGGATAGTATAGATGGAAACCCAGGGGGAGCTTCCTTACCCCATAATTCCCATCCTAGTTTCATCTTCAGTGGGCTCTGACCAGATCCTGTTTTTGTTCTCCAGGTGGCGATAATGCCCATGTCTAATGTCTCTCATGGTTTCTGATTGTGAGACCTTGGGGCACCTGACAAGGAGTGGTTAGGACAGAGGGGTCAAAACTGGGTTATAGAGATTCTTTGGACATTTTGAAATTGCAATGGGCTGTTCATAGTGTCAACATGTATAGTGATTGACCTCAATTTGTTCATGATTCTGTTCTTCTGTAGCTTGAGACAGCTGCTTTGTGTGAGACTGAGTGATACAAGATTTGTTCATACCCCACTTTGTGATTCAAGAACCGTTGGCTTCTCTTTTGGCAACTGGTGTGTGGATGTGTCTGTGTTCCTAGCAGCATAATGTGAGGATGTGGTAGGACTAACCCATCCCTGACCACCAGGACCTGTGTCCCCACACTGACCTGTGTCCCTTCTCTGATCTACATTCCTTGTTCCAGCAGAAGTGGGGCTGGAACATCTCCATCCCTGATATAATTTGCTGTTGCTCTGAGCTGCAATTTCTCACTTCTCTGTTGAAAATGAGAATCTGAGAATGAATTTGATTCTTCAAAATTTTGCCATGAGGTGGGGTTGAAGGGTTAATTAAAAGAGAAGAAAATTCTGAAAATTTAAGAGAGGAAATAAAATCTGAGAATATTCCAGAATCCATAAATTCATTGTGCTGAGTCTGTGGCAAGCAGAGTCAAGAGAAGGCAGTGGAGGAGCCAAGTGTGAATGGAGCCTGGGCCCTGTTGGTGCTCAGGACAGTGTGGGGTTTAACATGGTCACTCCTTGGTTGAATAATCTTCATGTCTCTGTTGTCCTTGTCCCTTCAGTAGAATCATATGCCACTAGGGCCTGTGATCACTGAGACTTGGGCCTTATCCTGTCTGGAGCTGTGAGCAGCACAGGCTCTCTGTGCCCAGAACATCCTGGGCTCAGGCCTAAATCTGGCCCTTGGTCCCCATCATTTGTGTGATTATTTTTTGTGTGTTTGTTTTTATAGAGGGTTATGCCTGTTCTTGTTCTCGTGTATGAACTCTGATCTCATTTGCTCTGGGTGTCACTTGTCTCTGACAGCTGCGGAAGTCATCTTGCCTATCATTGTCCCTACAAGGCCCAGGGCAGCCCCTACTTACACTCATGGGAGTCTCTGGTAACAAGAAATGAATTTTCAGACTCATCCAAATCCTGCCCTCTTCCTAGGACTGTTCTGTGGATGAGTGCGGTGTAATGGATCACTTCTATGTGGCTTTTCTTACCAAGGTCTTATAATTCCCACCAAATGATTGGATGGGACTGTGCAGATAAGGTACTGTGGCCCACTCAAGGGGATTGGACAGTTTGCTAATAAGCCAAATAAGGTACATAGAATCCCTGTGGGGTGGCACCATGCAAAAGAGCTGTATGAAACCCTAACAAGGGAATTGGCAGTTTGCTAGCCTGCTAGGCTTAAAATAAATCCAATCCCAGAGCAGAAAAGGGGATCTTACTACCACCAAGAAGAATAGTTGGTAGTAGAGCAACCCAGAAGAAAGCTGTAACACTGGAGATGGTAGGAGACAGGGAGAAGCAACACCAGAGAAGTGGCAGCAGCAGAAGCAGCTGAACCAGGAGACCAGCAGGAGATGGCTTCCACGCCCACAGAAGCAGAGAGCCGAGTGCCTTCAGGCAGCAGGCTTGCTGGCCGAGTGAGGTGCCTCTGGGCATTTATCAGTGGAGCTAAAGAGCTTTGTGGGACTTGCTTGAGAAGGCCCCCAAGCAGGGCCTAGCAGCAGAAGGCAAGAAGAGGCTGTCCAGATCAAAGCCCTGTATCCTGAGTTGTTTTTGATCCTCAATTGTAATCTGTTACTTTCCTGATTAACCCCATAACCATGAGTATGATCTGTGAGTTCTGTGTTGCCATTGCAATGAGTTATTGAACCCAGCAGAGAAGTAGAGAGTGCAGTCGAAGGGACAGCTGTGTCAGAATTGGAAAAAAGGTTGGAGAGAGGAGGTATGTGTGACCTCCACCTTATCAGAATCAGCCTTAGGCTGTTGACTTTATTTTTCTTCCCCCTTGTGGAGTTAGGTGAGGAATTCAGATGCCCCTATCATGCCATTTTTACCCTTGGCATTAGAAGTGTGGTTCATTGCAATGACTCCAGACTGATGGAAGAATGGGATTTTGTAAGAGAAGGGAAAAAAAGGGCATAGGAAGTGAAACTTTAGATTCTTGAATGGTTACTTTGGTGGTGGTTATCTGTGATGGCTGAGAGGAAAGTAAGAGATGTTATGCTGGACCAGAAGACAGGAAAATAGAAGATAGAAAAGCTGTCTCTAGAGTGGCTTGAGGCAAAGGCCAGGTAGGGGGTCAAGGCCTTCTGGTTCCACCCAGGCAGAGGCCCAAGACCATATGCATGTGAATGGAAAGATAGTCAAAGTATGGAGAAGATGAAACTAGCATGTTTTAAAAAGGTTTATGTGTTTATTTGAATATACTATGGTTATTGAGTGTTGTTCCTACCAAGTGTTGTAAAATAGATCTACATGTGTGATAGAAATGAATATTGGGTATTATGGGCAATCCTACTTCCGTAGTGATACTGCCTCGGAAACCCAAGGAGGGGTCGCTATGAGTCAGGGCCGACTCGATGGCACATAACAACAACAACAACATTAATAACAGAGTGTGTAACTCCACCTTCAGCCAATACTTGATTTGATATGCTAAAAGGGAACTAGGATTTACCCAAAAGAACACAGGCTGTTGGTTTGCATGCAGTAGCCCTGTGTGTAGAATATTGGGGGCTTAGGTTGAAAACCTGAGCACAACCCAGGAAATTCACATTTGAAAAGACATGCAGACCTACCCAGAACTACTGAAAGAACAGGAGATTTGCATTTGAAGGAAGGACCTGCAGAAAAAGAAAATAAAAAAATAAAAAAAGGACTTGGTTTTAAATTTCAAACAGGCAGTTTGCCTTTGGGTACACTGAGGTAGGAAAATTCAGTGCCCATTAGAAGAACTCTCTTCTAGGACTGGGAATTAAAGGCAGCTGAGGAGCAGACAGCTTGATATGCTCAATTGTGATGACCACCTGGGTCCACTTGATGAGCAGGAGAGATGCAACAATGAAGAGATAGGCTGAGTTAGACAGGTTCTACTGGCCCCATTGACCTAGCCAGTAGAGTCTAGGGATGAAAGAGAGAAGAGGAGAGGAGAGGGGAAGGGAAAGGGGCTGGTACCCACTGACCTAACCCACAGGGGCTAGGGATGAGCTGAGCAGAACCTGACTGAGTGAAGAGAAAGGTGTTTGACACCATGAGGTAGATTGCTGTATTAAGAGATAGGTATTGATTTGGATGAAGGGAAGGGCAGCATACCAAAAGTGAGTGACCAACACAATAACACTAAAGAAAAGGAAGACACATAGAGGTGCACAAGAGGTACAGACAACAAAGATAAACATTTTTTTTTTCACACATAATACTGCATTATCAGTAATAACAAACATTACAGGATGATACATAGGTAGAAAGGCTAAATGATCCAGTATGTCTGAGCAAAAGGGAATATACCCATAACCATATATGCTTTTGGCAGATAATATTTCTATATATGTATTTGTATGTGCTATAAGACTGTCCTTATATATAATAGCACTAACAGGAAGCCATATTATGATAACTTCTAAGCCACAGCCAACCACCCTGAGGAAGCTAGTTGTTGGGACTGTGGGCTCAGGACCATCATCATGGGGGACATCAAGCTCAATTGCCATAGCATACTGAACAAAAATGTTGCTCTACATCCTATTTTGGTGAGTATCAACTTGGGTCTTACAAACTTGTGAGTGGGCATCCACAATACAACAATTGGTCTCTCCTTGTCCAGAGCAAGGACAAATGAAGAAAATAAATGAAGCATGGAAGCAATTAGTCCAAGGAACTTATAGGCCATGCAAACCTCAGCTTACATGACCCTAAGACCAGAATAACTAGATGGTGCCCAGCTACCATGGTCAAATACTCAGAAAGGGATCTGTGTAGGAGATCCTGGATAGAGAGTGGGAGAAAAATGTGGAACAAAACTCAAAATAAAAAAAAATTACCAGGATTACTGGTCTGGTAGAGACTGGTGAAACCCCTAAGACTATTGCCACTAGTCATCCTTTGGGCATAGAATTGAATTCACTCATTTGGCTTCCAGCCAAACAACAAACAGGCATATAAGGTGAACCTGTACACCAGGTAGATACACTCCCTGGAACAGTCAACCATGGGAAATCAGAAGGGCAGAATATGCAAAGGTATATAGCTTAGAGGGCAGGAATGCATAGGAAAGAAGGACACAGGGAAAAGGTAACCACAGGGAGGAAGTACAAGGAGAGCTGGTGCATTATGGGGATTTCAGTCAACATCATGAAACAAAATGTGTATGAACTGTTGTATGG